ACATTAAGCCTTAATTGATGGTGGCCGTACACGTAGAGAGGAGCAGTTAGAGCACTCACTCAAATCTCCTAAAACCAGAGTAGTATATTTCATGGTCCTTCAAGACGACAACATTTAATAACAGCACATCCGGACAATTTGTACCGGGGACAAGCAGCAAACTAGTTACTAGCAAAACTATTACCTAGTCAACCGACACTTGGCCTTGATCACCACCTACACCCTCCTAGGCATGTTATCTACGAGGTTAGTGCAAACCTTTACAGGGATCTTCTCGCACTCTTCCTGGACCCACGCTTTTGCATAAGGGGGTGAGCACTAGGAAAATCGCGAAGTATTTGAACGTATGCAAGAGTACTGTGCATGATTTCATGTTGAATGTTATCTCTAAGACTAGCCATGCTGAGGTGTGGCCAAAGATGCCGTTAGTCGATTGGTCTCGACTTATCATGGATCGTCTTCATCGTACCGTTGTAGGTAAAAATTACGAGCAGAGTGGCGAAAAATTGCGTATCTGCCACGAAACTTAGGGTAACATAGCACGGTTGACAGTGCATCCTTGCACTATTAGAATCATGCTAGGATCCGTATGTCTCTGAGTGGTGCAGCAGTCGAAGTAGTCGTGACTGGTGGGGAAAAATATCCGGGTTGACATCTGGTGAGGAAAAGGGTCACTCCAGCGTAACATACTCGTGTTCTCTAAGCCATTCTAAGCCATGTGTCCCGCCAGGGCTTGGAATGGCTTGGAGAGCATGGTTTTATAGCACTGGAGTGACCCTCTTCCTCACCAGACCTGAACCCGGATATTTTTCCCCACCAGTCACGACTACTTTGACTGCTGCACCGCTCAGAGACCTACGGATCCTAGCATGATTCTAATAGTGCAAGGATGCATTGTCAACCGTGCTATGTTACCCTAAGTTTCGTGGCAGATACGCAATTTTTCGCCACTCTGCTCGTAATTTTTACCTACAACGGTACGATGAAGACGATCCATGATAAGACGAGACCAATCGACTAATGGCATCTTTGGCCACACCTCAGCATGGCTAGTCTTAGAGATAACATTCAACATGAAATCGTGCACAGTACTCTTGCATACATTCAAATACTTCGCGATTTTCCTAGTGCTCACCCCCTTATGCAAAAGCGTGGGTCCAGGAAGAGTGCGAGAAGATCCCTGTAAAGGTTTGCACTAACCTCGTAGATAACATGCCTAGGAGGGTATAGGTGGTGATCAAGGCCACGTGTCGGTTGACTAGGTAATAGTTTTGCTAGTAACTAGTTTGCTGCTTGTCCCCGGTACAAATTGTCCGTATGTGCTGTTATTAAATGTTGTCGTCTTGAAGGACCATGAAATATACTACTCTGGTTTTAGGAGATTTGAGTGAGTGCTCTAACTGCTCCTCTCTACGTGTATGGCCACCATCAATTAAGGCTTAATGTTTATAGCGTACAGCTCGTCAAAATGTAAAAATATGCTAAACATGTGGACAATTGTTTCCGCCACTGTACCTAGGGCACAACTCCGACTCCCCAGACGACTTATTCCTCAACCCAATCACCAGACAGCTGATTCACAGCCGTGATGTCGTCTTCGATGATACACACCCATTCCACTCTGCGACCACGGGCGAGCCTCCTCCACCTCCCCCGACGCTTGTTTGGGCAGACTTCGATGCCCCACCTCCGGCCGCTGCCCCTTCTCCGGGATCTTCTCCGTCCGGCGTGTCTCACCCGGCCTCCCCAGTATCCTCCACATCGGCACCTCCTCCTGCTCCGCCTTCCCCGCGCGTCGAGCCCGGCTCACCAGTCTCCTATCGGAGGCGCCCAGTCCCTCCGGTCCCACCGCAGCCGCCTTCGTCTCCGGTCTCTAGTCGCACTCGTTCCAAGGGACCGGCTCTGCCTCTCGCCTGGGGACCAGCCGCCTTCTCCATCCGGTGTTCGGTCACCCCGCCTCCTCCTGCCAGGGGTGATGTCCCCTCCATCCGTATTCCCCCCCGTGCACTTCTGGAGGACAGGCATGAGGAGCTGTTTGACCTTCACGCGGTCTGCCAATTTCTCTCTCACATCTTCCCGGACATTACTGACTGCCCTTCCCTCAACTTCACCGAGAATCCGACCATTCCGACTCCTCGCACAAAAGAGGAAGCTCTCTCGGGGCCTTATAAGAAGGAGTGGAAGGCAGCAATGGATGTGGAGAACGAGGCGTTCATTCGCAACAACAGCTTTGACGATGTTGTTCCCCCTTCCGGTGTCAATATCGTCGGCGGAAAATGGATCTTCCGAGTCAAACAACTCCCAGGCGAAGCTCCACTGTTCAAGGCACGATACATGGCGAAGGGTTTCACCCAGAAGGAGTATCTCGACTTCTTCGAAACATTCTCGCCCACGGCCAAGCTCCCGACTGTGCGCGCTCTTCTTGATATAGCCGCTCGCGGCAACTTCGAGATCAAGTCCATGGACGCCTCCTCCGCCTTTCTCCAAGGCCAGCTCAAGGAGGATGTTCACATGGAACGCCCATTGGGGTTTCCTGGCACTTACCCTGCCAACACAGTGTGGAAGCTGAAGCGCCCAGTGTATGGCCTCAAGCAGGCTCCTTGTGAGTGGCACAACAAGGTGAAGGAAGTTCTCCTCGCACTTGACTTCCATCCCTCTGCCTCAGATTCCAGTCTCTTCGTTCGTCACTCCTCCGAGCCCTTCTACATCCTCGTCTACGTCGACGACTTCATTCTAGCCGCCAGAGATCCAGCCGACATGGCAGCTGTCCAGTCTGCTCTCAGCTCCGCCCTTCTCATGAAGGATCTTGGTGACCTCAAGAACTACCTGGGGATGGAGATCACTCGTGACCGCCAGGCTTGCATGATCACCCTCTCCCAGGAGTCCTACATCGACAACCTTCTCAAGCGGTTCGACATGGACTCCAGTAACTCTGTCTCCACTCCACTCCCACTACAGCATCAGCTCACGGCCCCTCCAGTTCCTTCTCCTGACGCCTGCAAGGACCCGTACCCTGAGCTAGTCGGTTCACTCATGTATGCCATGATGTGCACTCGACCAGACTTGGCTTACCCGGTTAGTGTCCTCTCTCGGTACGTCTCCCCCGGACGCTATACTGCCTCGCATTGGTCTGCAGCCAAGAGGGTCCTCCACTATCTACAAGCCACCAAGTCTCACATCCTCACTCTTGGTGGTACCTCTCCAGTCAAGCTCGAGGGATACACAGACTCTTCATGGGCCGATGACCAGACTGACAGACGCTCCTCCCAAGGGTACTGCTTCACCCTTGGTAGCGGAGTCATCAGCTGGCGCTCCACTTGGTCCTCTGCAGTCTCCCTGTCGTCCTGCGAGGCCGAGCTCTACGCGGGCACAATGGCTGCTCAAGAGGCACGCTGGCTCTCCTTTCTCCTCGCTGAGTTAGGCTACCCCCAGCAGTCGCCCACCCTGTGGTGTGACAACCAGAGTGCCATTCACCTCACCAAGGATCCTGTGTTCCACTCTCGCACCAAGCACATCGAACTTCGTCATTTCTTCATCCGAGATCTTGTTCAGAGTGACCAGCTGACGGTACGGTACATCGCCTCAGATTGCAACCTCGCCGACCTCTTTACCACGGCTCTCGGCAAGGCTGACCACCATCGCCTTCTCCGTTCCATGGGGCTATGTGCTCCTTGATCGGGTTTTGCAGTCTATGGGGGTGTGTTAGAAATAGACTGCAAATACCACTTTTGTATTTGTACTTTTATATCCTAGTTTAGGTTATGAATGTTCTAGTGGGTTGGGGTGTACTCACAAATCCCAACCTCACCCAATTGTGATCCCCCCAATCTCCAATTACCCAATTGGAGATTCCGGAGATCCCAATGGGGATTCCCTCCAATTCCCCCTTCATCCATTCACTCTCACCTTGCCATGTACTTATAGAGCCTTGGGCTCCTTACCTAATCAATCATTTCAACTCTATTTCTTACAGTGGCGTCGTCATGCTGCCGTGGCAGCTTCGCCGTGCCGCTGTGCCTCCGTGAGGCCGTTCCGCCGTGCCGCTGTGTCGTCACGTCGCCGTCCCGCAGTGCCGCCGTGCCACGGTGCCGCCACGCCGCTGTGCTGCCTTTTTTTCGTGACCGCTTCGCCGCGCCAGCGCACGAGCAGCAACGGGCCGCGCATCATTTTAGGCGCCAGCCATGACGCCCGCACGCAAGCCAGCGCCGCGCTAGTCACGGCGCCTCGCTGAAGACTCCCCCCCCCCCTCCTCTAAATTTCCCCCTCCTCCCCGCCGCAGCTGCTGGAGGTCTCGTGCCGTCCTCCCCCCCCGTCGTCACAGTGTGTGCCTCGGGCGCCGCCTCCGCCGGGTGCCTCGACGCCGCCGCCGCCGCCGCCGCCGCCGCCGCAGGAGCTGGATGCCCTGCCGCCGCCGCCACCACAGTCGCCGACGCCGTCGCCGCCTTGATTGCCGAGGGGTCGACCCGCTGGTAGACGCCACAGCTGCTGCAGGACATGGGGGTGCAAGGGTTTGGGGGTGTTGCGTGCTGGGTGGGCTTGCGACTACCAAGCCGAGGGGGTGTGTCAAATTATATATATTATATATGTATATATATATTGTCTTAAGTTAGGCTAGGTAGAAATGAGAGGAGCCATAGAAATGGCGTGAGATTAGATCTAGGAGGTAGGCGAGAATGTCGAGAGAAAAGAGAGGACTAGGAAAGAAGAGAGAGGGATACAAAGAGGGGTGTTGTACCCTCTACAGTAATGTTCAGTAACCACTACCAAGCCTACAATTATATACTAACATATATAATTTAACATATATTTGTATAGGCTTGGTAGGTGTTCTACATTTCTGGATCTTTCTGTAGAGGGTACAAGACCCTTGTACCTCTCTCTCTTCTAGTCCATCCCTCTTTTCTCTCGTCACTTTTCCCCCTAGCTAAAACCTCTCGACATTCCTAATGCCTAGCTACCTAATTAGCTCCTTTTGACAGTAAGATGCAGTCACTTTAGCTCAGAAATGCAGTAATTGATTCCAGACGGACGACGTTTAGAGCCATTTACTAAAATAACAGATTAAAAGTGTTGGAGAGAACTGGAGGAAGGAATGCCTCCCCCACCCTCTCTCCCCTAACACCTGCACTGACTAAAATAACATGTTACTACGCGCTACACCCATCAAGTGGCCAGCAGACACGCTCTTTCTTGCAGCTGTGAGAACCCTGTGCAGCTCCAGGGCTTCGTTGGGCCTCCAAAAAACACATACCCGCATTTCAACATCATTCAATGATTCTTCGGCCTCCTTATAACCAAACCCATCACGTGGCCACACTCTTCCTAGCAGCTGTGAGAATCTTGTGCAGCTCCAGGGCTTCCGGCGGCGAACCTTTCTTTGCAGCCATTTTCGCCACAGGAAACAGCGCCCCGTCGTTCAGCAGAAACGCAGGCGTAACCACCCCAGTGGTAACCAGATGGTACAGTGCAAACAGGGCCTCTTCCTGTGCTCTCTCTGACTCACTCTCCAGCACATCCAGCATCACCAGCGTCCCCTCCACCTCTAGCAACGCCGCCTGGCCCTCCTTGGACTTAACCAAATTCGCCAACACCGCCATAGCTTTTTCCTCCACTCCCGGCCGCTTGTCAGATAGCGAATCCACCAGTACACTCACCCCTCCCTCTCTGACTATCTCGTCTGCACAGTCAGGGTCGTCTGAGAGGGCAAAGAGCGCGAGAGCCGCGTCTTTCCGGCACCGGGCCGCTTCTGTCTTGAGCAGCTTCAGCAGGGGAGGGATGCCCCCGCACCGGAGGATCTTATCCCGATACCTGCTGCTCCTCCTCCGCCTCCCATCCTCATCCTCCTTGTCATCGTCGTCACACGTGGCAATGGCAAACAGCGCCGCCGCCGCGTTCGACCGTACCGAATCCGAAAACTTGCTCGCCTCAGCATCTCCTTTGCCTGCTGTTTTCGGGCTGTCTCTCCCCCCACCCTTTTTCCTGCACTTTCCGTCCACTAGATCGACTAGCACACCCACGCCCCCTACATCAACCACCTCCAGAGCCCCATCATATGACTGTGTGAGCTGGAGAATCACAGCCACAACACAGTCTAGCACTGCTGGCGCGTCCATCCTGCTGTCCCTGACCGCCCCTTCACTCCCAGATGCCACCAGCGCCGCTGCATCCTCCACTAGATCGACTAAGATCGGAACTCCATCCGACCGGTGGATCACCCGCCGCCGCGCCTCAGAACTTTCCTTCAGGGCAGACCGGAGGCGCATGATCCCTTCTTCCCGGTCCGCCGACGTGCCACGGTCGATCGCATCCAGCATATCATCGACCGTCCGCATGGATCGTGACGATAGCGATAACGATGATCTAGGTGACGATGCCGTTGATGACGGGGATGACAATGGTGGGCGTGACCTAGGCGAGCTCGCAGCCATACTCCCGGCCCCAGAACTTCCCTTGTCCTTCCCGCTTCCCGCCCCACCCCCACCCGCTAGCCGCGCCTTATCCCTAGCAGACCGCGGCTGGGGCGGCAGATTCCTAGCACCGCCCCCAGCACTGGATTTTCTAAGAGGCGACGACGCGGCATCTGAGCCCCTGTGTCTCGATCCGCTTCCTTCCTTGCCTCCACTGGAAGAGGGGTTGGCAGGAGAGGTGAGCTGGCGCTCGAACGAGTTGCTGCCAGCAGCTGGGGACCCGGGTGGCTCCTGCCCCTCTCTCTTCCGCTCGTCCAGACTCATCGTTCGCCTGTCCGCCCACGCTTCTGGCCCCGCCCCCCCCGCTCCCCCCGCTCCCGCCGCTCCCCCCGCCCCCCCCTCCACCGCCTCCGCCCCATCAACTCCTCCCTCCCCTGCTGCTCCTCCCCCTGGTTCCCCCGCTCCCGCTTCCGCGGCTGCTGCTGGTCCACCCGCTGCTGCAGCCTCCCCTGCTGCTGCTGCTGCTGCTGCTGCTTCCCCTGTCCCAGAAGCTTCCTCCAGCGCTGCTGCCTCCCCTGATTTCTCCTCGTCCACCTCTTTTCTCCCCGCTCTCACCCCATCCCTGTCACCTCTCCCCACCACTCTCGACCCCCCCCTCCCCACTCCCCTCCCGCTGCCTCTCCCCCCTCGATCGGGGCCAGAGCGCCTAGGAGAGTACGTATCGTCATCATCCCTCCCCCTGCCCCTCTCCCTCTCCCTGTCTCCGTGCCTATCCCTGTCCCTGTCCCTGTCTCCATACCTATCCCTATCCCCATACCTGTCACGGTCGCCCCCTCTGTCCCTGTCCGGACCTCTATCTCTGTCCCTATCTCGATCCCTATCCCTGTTCCTATCCCGATACCCTTCCCTATCTCTATCCGAGTCGCTGTCTCTATCCCGCTCCCGGTCTCTATCCCTATAACTATCCTTCCCTCGTTCCCGCGGGCTTCCCGCTACTCCGCTCCCCCCTCCCCCCCGTTGCCGCGACAGCAGCTGCGCCGCCACGCGCCCTGTGCGCGCTCTCCGCTCCTCCTCAGTCCGCGGCTGCAGCCGACCGCCTCCGCTCCCCCCCCTACCCCCGCCACTCCTGCCCCGCCGGTCCTCGTCCTCGCTATAAGCCTCTCTCGTACGCGATACAGTGCCACCACCTCTCCGCCCACTCCCCCTGTCAGACCCGCTATCCTCGTCTGGCCCTCTCCGCCTGCCGCTCCCCGCGCTGGCAGATCGCTGCACGTACGGCTGCGATTCGTCGTCGTCATCATCCCCATGTCGGCCCCGTCTTGGGCCATCCCTGCCTCCACCTCCGCCGCCGCCGCCGCCGCCTCTTCCCCCGGGACTTCCGCGGCTCGACGACGGAGACGTTTCCTCGTCTTGCGCGCGAACTTGCGCGGCAAGTTCCTCCTCCAGGCCTTCCGGAAGCGGCGCGAGGTCGAGATCGTGCTTCTCGCACCATTCGGCGATGAGGGCTTTAAGAGCGACGTTGGGGAAGAACTCGGTGTGGTCCAGCTTCATGCCGCTTTTAGGGCACACGCGCCGGCCGGCCGCGAACCACACTTTGATAAGTCTCCGCTCGTAGCTAAGTCCCGACGCGATGATGACTGGCTCGCGCATGATATCGTCGGACAAGGGGCAGATGAACTCGAGGGGAACCTCCAAATCGTCCTCCTCTTCAACTTCCGCCATTGATTAACTAAAGCGTAAGAACCTACAGGATCAGCAACGGATGATGCTGGTCGTTAGTGTCAATAATAAATAGATTAGGTGTGAGTCTAAACTGGGTGAAACGATACCGAAGCGAGTGGAGTGGCCGTTGGAAACTGCTAGGAAACCACCAACATTAGAAGCGATGTAGGGCCAATATCAGTTAGAACCAGCTACATCGAGACTGGTCCAATGCAGCTGATCTGCTGCACATCAACCCTAAAAGCAACTGTTGAACTCTACTGCACGCCAGAGTCTCGCCTTAGTTGACCAGGGCTCGCCTAACACATGCTCCCGTACTAGCTGCACCCAATAAAACTTTGCGCTGCTCAAGACTACAGATTGGCCAGGCGTCTTCCTCCGCAACATCGGCTGCAACACATAGAAATAGAGAGCAGCAGGAGTAAGCCTGCGCCCATGCTGCTAAATCGGAAAGGGGGTTGGTGGGGAGGGGGGAGGGGGGAGGGGGGTGGGGGAAAGCTTGGTCTGGCGGACGCATTGCCGGGGAACGTTGAGGGTTTCCTCCCCGCTTGGGGCGGTTGGCGGAGACTCCTAGGCAGGGGGAGATTCAAGAGATCTCGAAAAGCAGAACCGTTGAGGTCCAGCTGGCTGCCTTGCGCACTTTTCGGTTGGTACAGAGACACGAAGGTGACGGCTAGTTACCAGAAGTAGGCCAAAGTTCGCACACAGCTGTAGAGCAATCGCAAGCACTTCGTTCCTCGTTCGCCGGAAGGCCCGAGGCCCACGAGGTGAAACCATCTCCCTTACAACATAACAGCACGTATACTGGAAGTCCATTCCACCAACTAAATTAGTAAGCGATGAGTAAAGGCCAATTATCTTAGATATTAAATATTTTTTTCAAATATATCATCTCATAATATTTTTTGAATCTTATGAAATGAATTATTAGATAAATTTTTATATCCACAATTTTAATCCATAATTGAGAAGTCTATATTCAAGTATCATGGGCTTTATTTTTCGTCTCACATATTAGGTGTGTATACTCTACACACAACATTATTCGTGTTATTCTGAAACTAGCTCGCACTGTATTGCGATTCTGGTGATGCGCGCGAAATTTGAAGCTGATGAACACATGCATCGTGGTGTCAGCGCCAGCGAGCTGTCCTGCCACCGTGGCGTATTCTTGACGGAAGAAGCGAAGCAGTCCGCTTCAAGCGAAGTTTCAACCAATCGGAAATGGCATTGCATTCGCATCGCACGCGGCAGTATTAGCAGTACCCTTGCCCAAACATTCACGCTAGCTCCAAGGCCAACGAAGTACAACTTCAAGGTTCTGAAGCATTGTCGGGGAGAGGGAGAGAGAGAAATGCAGAAGTGCGAGAAGGAATGCCTGTTTTTCTGCTTCCTCTTTGCGTTCAGCATAGATCCTCCAACATTTCACGCCCTGTCTCAAATGCTTATAGTGAGAAACGCGCCCAAGGATGATTAGTTTCGGGAACGAATGCCAGGAAAATCAACTCTGATATGTGTTTCACGCCGTGACTCAATGCCTGATAATGAGAAATGCACAATGAAAATAGTTTCGGGAACGAGAGCCACGAAAATCGACTCTGAGTCTCTTCTCCGGTTCCTTACTTGCGTTCAGCATTAGAGACAGGTCCTCCGCCGTGGCTCCTATTTGTTACCTGACTAGAAAGCTTCGACTAGGACTTCGTAGACGAAGGACGGCACTCTCTATGTTCGCAAACTGCTTGCTACAGTAGAGAGGTTAGCCATTTATTCTCAAAGGCGTCCCATCGATCCCCACTCATTAGGTTCGTGATTATCTCCCCCCCCCCCTTTTGACAGAACTTCACAGATCCGCAGCACTGCCAGCCAGGCCTTCACAGCATGGAGGGTCGGCATTGAAACCAGGCACGCCAAGAGCGGGACGTGCAAAGCTCACACTGCAGCCGTCACATGAGAGACCCAGCAAACGCATCGTATGCCTGCTGCTGCCTATGAAGTATTCTTGCCAGCAGTGATGGCTGGGCTCGCTGTATCTCTATTGAGCTATCACTGACTTTCCGTCTGTGTCATACAGTGCGCTTGTGCTGAATCTGTGCGCTTCAGTGACTGCTTGCGTTTCCCACCAGCTGTTAATGGTTTATTTCTGGGCAATTCTTGCAATTCCCTGGTTGCTGCTTCCTTGTGTTGCTGACTGTCTTGGCTCGCACATGCCTGGTGCGTCTTTCTACCCACAGATCAATCACGCGAGGCTAAGACTCCCAGCAGAGCCATAAAGACGCCCACATCTCAAAATTCACAAATGCCACCTTCGCGTACGCGCCAACCATCTCGGGAACCAGTACCGAACCACGGAGTGGCTTGGGACTGGCCACACTGTAGGTACTCCATCCGACTGCCGAGGGTGTACCTACAGCGCATGCGGGGGTGGATTATCGCGATCGTGTATACCCAGACCAACCTAACAACCTTGCGAATGCCTCGGGAGAGCCTCGCCATCCGGTGGCATCGCCGTGGTGTCAAATACAGAATAGACGAAGCGCCTACAATGTAAACAAACCGCAGAACAGTGCGCAAGCGACAAACGAACCGTTCAGCCCCGACAAAACAGACAGCAGAAAATTGGAGCCATTCGACAAACGAAGACAACGAATCCCACCCCACTGGGCAGAGTGATGATGACAACACACATGCGAAACCGGCGAAGAGCGAGCAAGTCGGGAAACGCGAACGTTGATGGTTTCAAAGAGTAACCCTGAGTGTTACAAAAGCATGAGACACAATTGCCACAACAGTTAACCGTAACCAAATATTGTGCATGTTTATCAGGTGACACACGGTCCAAAAAGAAATGATATCTTCAGAACTATTTTCAATAAAATAAATGGCAACAGGATACCATGTAGCAATATATCCTATATTACATGATAACTATGTTTATGAGATGCTACTACTGAGGGCGCATTCTTATTCTTGCAAGCGTGCGTGTCGTGAATCGTCGAGCTTCTACTACAGCAATTGCCGTGCCTGCCTCTCAATTTCACCAAATGTCAAAAGCTGACTCCCAGATTGAAGTTGACTTCGATCCCATCCTAAGTTGACGCCGACTAATATGTTTACAAAACAATGGTGAAGATGTGGGTATCGATCAGTCGACCTTTTAGTTGCGAGAATCTGCCTCGACGACTGTGTTAAGGTCGACATGTCTAAAGGGCCAATTGTTAATTCAGGAAACAATATACTTACAAAACTTTCCCGCTAGACTCATCTGGGTTTCAAGATTTGGTTTCTAGTCCTAATTCCCGCCTCGTTTCTTGATCCCTAGCTCGGCACTATACCTTGTGTACCTCTATCTCCCTGCCTTTCTGACTGCTGAATCTTTTCAAGGACTTGATGTCGTTTCATCTCTTCTCTTCCATAATTGCTCCTTTCCTTTCTTCATGTTCCATCGTCAGCGTCCCTTGTTTTACGTTATTCTCCCTTTCACTTGTTCGTTCTCCGTTTTATTGTTTCATCTTCCGCGTGATGTTTGCGTTTGGCCTGGATGGAACAGGTGGTGGGGTTGATTCGACCGTCGCTGTCACCATTCTCTGCACCTGTCAGGTTTCGTATGTTCATGTTTTCTGAATTCTCGTCAGATCTGATGGTATCCTTACTGCTTTAGCTTAGTGATCTGATATCTCATTTTCTTTCAACCGTTCCGCCTCATCGTCGCAATTGCCATTCATTTTGTCCACGTTTTCGCCATTGAAATCTCCTTCGATTCCGCATTCTGTTGCCCTTTCCCTAATAGCCTTCGGTTTCGCCTACGATTTCGCCAACGATTTCGCATTCGGTTTCGCCTTCGAGTTCGCCTTCGGGTTCGCCTTCGAGTTCGCCTTCGGTTTCGCCCTGCTCATGCCCTGCGGATGCGCTGAGGAATGGTATGCGCCCTGCTCATGCCCGCCGCCCTTCCTCCATGTTGTTACTTTCTGTGGGGAACTCCCTCCTGGCCCATTTCCTTGCTGGGGTACGCTGCCTTTTGGTCCCAAGTTCTTTCTATCCTGAATGTCTTGTTCTCCCTGTTTCTATTTTTACAGAATAGCGTTGACCAAGGGTGTTCATTTTGACACCCCTCTGTTGCTTGCAATGCCCACCCGTGGCAGCATGACTGACGGTTCTGGGCAGCAGCGACTTTTTATTCTTATTGGGACCGATTTTGTCTTTGGAATGGTGCTTGTGTTTTCTGCTTGATATGCTCGACGATTGCATGGTGCTTTTTGCACCGGTAATGTTGAATTGTAATTGTATCTGCGGATCATAAATGCATAATGTATTTTATTAACGATAAGTGTACTACGGTAATATTGAACACAAATGGGCTGCAATGTATCGCGGATTTGCGCTAGATGTTCTCCCCAGTTTATGGGGATTCAATCTCGAGATCCTACGTGGCAGCTGTCTTCACGCTTCGTGGACGAGAGCTGGGTACAGTCTCGCTGCGGAGGGAGTGGGGAGGTTGTGCCTATAGTGTGGCGACAACGTGGCAGTAGGTTGTGGGGAGGGTGTAGCCGCAGTGTCTGTAACAGATTTCCAGCAGCGATGTGGACCCGCTGAATGAACAAATATTGGTAGTCTGTAAATGGATACACCCTCCTCGCAGTGTTGTGATGGTCTCTGGAGTGTGTAGGGAGAACCTGGAACGGCAGCAGCTTTTTGGGATGCAGTGCAGCCATCAAGACCCCCCACACTGTCACCAAGACACCTGCGGTACAAAGGAGGATTCCATCAGCACTATCACATGACTCGAACATCAAGGTGAATGGACCAGGGAGTTAAAGGAGGCAAGTAGATGTTTTGAAGAACTGCCATGACTTTGCTTCATCTCATGTTGCAAATGAGATACTGGATGGTATGCTGTGGGAATGGATGGGCTGGGATGGGTTTGTATGGAATGGGAGCGGGTGGTGTGGTGTGAGGCGAAAATGGGCGGGATTGCTCAAATGGTTCTGGATGCCATGGGGGTCGTTTTGCACGAGAGGAGATGGCAGCGGCAACAAAGCACTCTCTTCCGACCCTTATTCAACCCTTGGTCCCTCCACTTCCTCCCTTACTTTCACGTGTCTTGTGAGTGTGGCACAGGCTACCTCTCATTCTCCCCGTTCTCACCTCTTGAACCCAACTTACTTCCTCGGTCTTATGCACCAGGTGATTGTGTGAGGGTCCGTCCTAGGCTGAGTCCTCGGCTGATTCTCTGCCCATTTCATCCTCCCGTCAGGTGATTGTGAGGGTCCGCCCTCCAGCGGGCCCCGAGCTGACAGGGTACCCTGGAGAGCGGTGTGTGGCAGTGGACGGCCCAAAGTTGCTCTTCCTCATGAACCCGGACAAGGGAGGCGCGGCCCAGCAGTTCACCTTCGACCACGTGGCGGGGGAGAACGCAACGCAGGTATGGAGTTGGCCCTGCGTTGTCCATCCGCCACATTCACGTTCGACCACGTGGGGGGGGGAGAGCGTGCATCAGGTAGGCAGCAAACTTGACCATGTGGGGAGGGAGAGGGCGCATCAGGTAGGCAGCAAAATTGACCATGTGGGGGGGGAGAGGGCGCATCAGGTAGGCAGCAAACTCGACCATGTGGGGGGGGAGAGGGCGCATCAGGTAGGCGGCAAACTTGACCATGTGGGGGGGGAGAGGGCGCATCAGGTAGGCAGCAAACTTGACCATTTGGGGGGGGAGAGGGCGCATCAGGTAGGCAGCAAACTTGACCATGTGGGGGGGGAGAGGGCGCATCAGGTAATGACAGGATTGGGACTGTGGTCTCATCCCTTAAGGGGGGTGGGGAGAGGAGGGAAGAAGGCATCGCATGATGCAGTCGATCTTGTATTGCTCACTAATTTCTTAGCCTGTCCATGTTCACCCATGTGGTGCGGGAGAGGGTGCAGCAGGTAGGGAGAGGGTGGCGCAGGTACGGTTGGTAGTTGAAGTGTGTCGATGGTGTCATGGGTTACAGCCTTACAGGGTACGGTTATTCCTCATATCCCTCATATCACTCATATCCCTCATATCCCTCATATCCCTCATATCCCTCATATCCCTCATATCCCTTGCTGCACTTCCGCTTCGTTGTGCTCAGGTTGCGCTGGGGTGTTTCTCGGAGTCAAGGATGCCAAGAAAGGAAAGGAAAGGATGTGCGGGTTGTACGTTGCTTCCGTCCCTTTTTGAGGCGCCTCAAAACCGCGTGATACAAGTCTAGTTTTGAGGCGCCTCAAAACTAGACTTCTATCACGTTGTTGTACGTTGCTTCCGTCCCCCTTTGGAACTAAGCTCTCGACACTTTTCTACCCTTTCCCACCTCCTTTCCTGCCTTCCTGCCTCATCCCGCTTCCTCTCGTCACTTCCCTCCCTCCAGTCCAGGTGGATCTGCTCCACGTCGCTCGTCCACTTAACCACGTCTCTCGTGCCACCCCTTCTCCACTCCCGTCTTCCCTCCCTCCCTCTCTCCCTCCCTCCCTCCCTCCCTCCCTCCCTCCCTCCCTCCCTCCCTCCCTCCCTCCCTCCCTCCCTCCCTCCAGGGTGTGTTCGAGCTGGCGGGGCGGCCCATAGTAGAGAACTACATCGCTTGATATAAGAGAACGTGGTTTGCGTATGATCAGAATCTTCCCATCTGCTATCGTGCCCCCTCTCTCCCCTTCCCTCCCTCCCTCCAGGAGGATCTGTTCGAGCCGGCGGGGAGGCCCATAGTGGAGAACTGCCTGGCTGGTTACAGCAGCACCATGTTCACCTACGGCCAGGTTCGTCCTACGGCCAGGTTTGTCCTTTCTCATCATGCTTGCTGGTGATAAGGTTGCATGATTGGGTTTGTGCTGTACCTTCCAGCTTTGCAGCGTTGCCTACTTTGACCTATCTGTCGATGTGGCCTGTGTGCACTGCGCACTGTGCACTATCCTATCCATGCGTCCTCATCCACCACCCCATTGCAGCCGCAGTCCATTTCCACCACTTTTCCAACCATCTCAGCCGATTTCCACTCCTTCCGTTATGTAGCATTTCCTGGTGGATATGCTCTTCCTTGCATCACGCATACCCGCCTCGTTATGTTAACTGCAGACTGGAAGTGGAAAGACCTATACCATGCTTGCTTGGGTCTGACGTGGACAAGGCTGACCTGAGAAAATCTCGAGTGGAAAATGCTGACGTGGAGGTTGACTCGAGGTGGGGGATGATCCCGCGTATCTTCCAGCTGGCCTTTGCACTGATGAAACAGGTATGACCGTAGGCCTGCTTTTCTCCGTGGCAGTGTTTTGTGAGATGTGTTGTGAAATATGCTCCCCCAAAAGCAGGTGTTAACCCTTGGATGCAAAACTGTGGATTGTGGTGCTGTAGAATCCAGTCTTGCAGACTGTAGAATATGCTCTGTAACCTGAAAAGAGAGAGCGATGTGTTCAAAAGTGATTGATTGATGTGACACAGAAGTGACACGGAACGGAATTTGAAATTATCCTGAATGGCGGCCATGTTTTCAACTCAACTCATGCATTTAGTAATATCCTCTCTTTATTTATTTCAGTATCCTCTCACCTCAGATTACTTCCTCATAGTATTCTCCTCGTTACCCCTTCCTTGGCATCCTCTTTCCCTCCTTCTCTGCTCTGCTCCCCTCCCTCCCACCCGTCTTCTCCCTTCATTCCCCACCCCATTACACGTGCCCCACTCCCCACCATGTTACCCTGTTACCCATGGCAGGAAGCGCAGCAGAGGACGACTGACCGTCTCACATTCGCTTGCACGTGCTCGTTCCTCGAGATCTACAACGAGCACTTCTACGACCTGCTGAACCCCAAGTGCACCAGCCTGGAGGTGAGCGGAAGGGGTTCACCTCTCCAGGTTGGTGAGATGCACTTGCTGTAGATCTGCATGCGAGTGAATCTGTTTTTCTCTGAGCAATTTTTACTGGAGCCAACCTTGTTTCCAGCTGGAAAGAAAGACCGGTCCTTGCCTTTGTAACGGTCCAAAAACAGGTCGAACTTGTCGAATCAGTCATCCGCTCTGAACACACTACATAGATATTATGTAACCTTGGCTCGTTCAATTTAGACGGTTCTCCTGGGTCCGATCACCGTGACTCATCTTTATCCCAACGGTTTTCCTGGCTGACTTTTGAGACGACTCAAAAGTCACCACGGTTTTCCTGGCTGCCTTTCCTCTCTTTCACCTGGCTCAGCTCCATGAGGGCCCCAGCAGCGATGCGTTTGTGGAGAACCTCGCGAAGCACCCTGGTTTTCTGGTTTTCTGGCTTGCCAAACCACGCCTTGTGTATCTTATGCCTCTCGTACCTGCTGTTGCCCGCCCTGGCCGCACTCAGGTCCATGAGGGCCCCAGCGGCAATGTGTTTGTGAAGAGCCTCTCCAAGCACCCATTTTCCTGCTTTGCTGCTGTCATGGCGCTCGTCCAGCGGGTGAGAGGTCTATTTTTTAGGCGCCTCAAAAATAGACTCCCAGTTCCTGCTTCGCTGCTGTCATGGCACTCGTCCAGCAGGCGAGAGAGGAGATATAGCTTGAGTACGGATTACTTAAGACATATTTGTAGAATATTACTTTATGACGTATGACCAGCAGTCCCTGTTCTTAGTCTATGGTGCTCCAGCCATTTATTTCCCCTCGTAAGGGATGCCAAGGTAACGTGTGGGTAACCCGATAACCATGCGACTCGTGCGTGAGCAGGGCGCCAAGAACCGGCGGGTGGCAGGGACGAACATGAACAGGGAGAGCAGCCGGTCGCACAGCTTCTTCACATGCAACATTGAGAGCACCGTGAGTGCTGATAAGCCTTTTTGGTGTAGCAGCCGACAGGGTCAATTGTGAAAAGCTGTTTCAAGGGTTTCTTGTGTTTTCCATATGCCTCTTTATTGCTGTGATGCTGTGTATTTTCCTTCCATGCATCTCTGCGAAATGGGATGTATGCCTGTAGGGGCATGGCATGTGTGTGCATGTCCTCAAATGCATGTGCGTGACTTCGTATGCATGTGTATGGATGACCACATGTGCATCTGCATGTGCGCACATGGTGGACGGCAGAGGGCATCAGCAATCGCCGGGCTGCTCAGCTCAACCTCGTTGACCTCGCAGGCTCTGAAAGGTACCCCCATGCCTTGACACGCCTCGCAGGCTCAGAGAGGTACCCCCACTCTGCCCCTCTGGCCCCACTCTGCCCCTCTGGCCCCACTCTGCCCCTCTGGCCCCACTCTGCCCCTCTGGCCCCACTCTGCCCCTCTGGCCCCACTCTGCCCCTCTGGCCCCACTCTGCCCCTCTGGCCCCACTCTGCCCCTCTGGCCCCACTCTGCCCCTCTGGCCCCACTCTGCCCCTCTGGCCCCACTCTGCCCCTCTGGCCCCACTCTGCCCCTCTGGCCCCACTCTGCCCCTCTGGCCCCACTCTGCCCCTCTGGCCCCACTCTGCCCCTCTGGCCCCACTCTGCTCCCACTCTGCCACATCCAGCCATTGCTTCATCATGGTGGTGAATGATGGTAGTAACCTATTATGTCCTGTACTTGTCTCATCCACCTCCCATGTGCTGTCCCCTCCCTCTCGACACGGTGACTTTTGAGTCGACTCAGAAGTCACCTCTTTTGAGTCGACTCAGAAGTCACCTCTTTTGAGTCCTCTCCTGCACTCCATCCCCCTCTCGTGCACTCCGGCAAGCAGCATCAGGGGCGACCGGAGAGAGGCTCAAGGAAGCGACCTCCATCAACACGTCGCTCTCCCAGCTTGGGTAAGGCATGTGATGCCATGCATTCTATCATGTTGTGGTGCAGTATGGCATGTCATGGGATGCCATGCATTCTAGCATGTTGTGGTGCAGTATGGTATGCCACAGCACGCCACGCTTTTGAGTCGACTCAAAGGCATGCCATGCATTGTAGCATGTTCTGGTGCAGTATGGTATGTCATGGGATGCCATGCATGATGCCATGCATTCTAGCATGTTGTGCTGCAGTATGGTATGCCATGGCATGCCATGATGTTGAGTCGACTCAAAGGCATGCCATGCACTCTAGCATGTTGTGGTGCAGTATGGTATGCCACGGCATGCCATGATGTTGAGTCGACTCAAAGGCATGCCATGCATTCTAACATGTTGTGGTGCAGTATGGTATGCCATGATGTTGAGTCGACTCAAAGGCAGGCCATGTATTCTACCATGTTGTGCTGCAGTATGGTATGCCACGGCATGCCATGATGTTGAGTTGACTCAAAGGCAGGCCATGCATTCTAGCATGTTGTGCTGCAGTATGGTATGCCACGGCATGCCATGCATCATGATGTGTGAGTTGAGGCATCATATTGAGATCAACCTGTTGCATTGCACCATCTTCCCCTGTCGATCCATTTCTCTTCTTCTTACCGTGCGTGCCATGCATGGTCAAGGGCATTATTGAGAATTCTCAAAGCCGCCGGGCATCTTTTATATCATGGGCTGTCCTGCTGTCTAGGGTCCTCCGTCTAAACATTTTTCCGTAGCAAGCATGCATGTGTACCATACTGTGTGTTGTACATGTATGATGTGTCCTTGACCTCAACGCCAGCAAAGTCATCATGGCGCTGTTGGAGTCACTCAAGGATGAGAAGCGCCATGTGCCGTACCGAAACTCCAAGCTCACCTTCCTGCTTAAGGTGAGTATCTCTGTGCTAGTATGTCTCCTGACTCATGTTATTACATGCCCCTTGTGTCTCCTGTTGTTCTCTACGTCTCCAGGTTGTTTGTTCCGTTGAATGCGCGAGTTACTTCTTGCTCGTTGCTTGCTTGTGCTTTGCTCCTGGGGAGATTTCGCGGAAGTAGTTGTTCGCGTGTTCGGTTGAATGCTACTTAGTACATTGAGAAGTATTCTTGCTGCAAACTGCGAGAAAGCCAAAGGCCGTGCGTATGCCCTTTCCAGATGCACAATTGTAGCAGTTTGAAATGGATAAGGTGTCAGCTTGGCAATGCATGCAATGCTGTTCATATTGCCAAGCACATAGAAGCTCATGTTGCCAAGCACGTAGAAGCTCATGTTGCCAAGCACATAGAAGCTCAAGCATGTTGCCAAGCACATAGAAGCTCATGTTGCCAAGCACGTAGAAGCTCATGTTGCCAAGCACATAGAAGCTCAAGCATGTTGCCAAGCACATAGAAGCTCATGTTGCTCTGAAGTATCCCGAAGTGTTGCTTTGTACCTCATGTTTGCGCTTCTGCTTCAAGCCTCCTCTCCTCTCACACCTCCGTGCAGGACTCCCTCGGTGGCAACTCCAAGACCACCATGGTCTGCCCGTTAGAAGTCTATTTTTGAGGCGCCTCAAAAATAGACTCCTCACGCATCAGCCCGTTAGAAGGGTAAGCAGCAGGCTGTGGGGCCAGAGGCTCGTTTCTGTACTTTTGAGGCTTGCGAATCGTTCGGTCGCAACTCCAAGACCACCATAGTAACGTGCATCAGCCCGTAAAAAGGGTAAGCAGCAGGGGTATGAGGCCTATGATGCAGATGCCTGTGTTCGTACTTCTGTAGCCTCCATCGTCCTCGTTTTCCTGTTTTTGTCTGCCTCTAGCTCTGACCCTTGTGCTTGGCTGTGTTCGTTGCCAGAGCTCCTGAGCACAAAGAGGTCCGTCCCGATTTTTTCTTTCCTGCCAAGAGTCAGTGATGTGACCGCAATGCCGACCCTTAGTGTGGACAGTTGCATGGCTGAGGCTCGATACATGTGCTTAGTTCTGTACATGTGCTCACTTAGTGATGTGAGATCCCAGGCGGTATCTGTGACTCCTACTTCTCGTTACCATGCCTGCGACCCTCATTCAGTAGGTTGTACCGCGAGTCTGATGGAACACACCCGGTAGGTGTCAAATCCCTAGTTGCTGCCACGTATTGACAACATGGCGCCTACTTGGTATTCCATCGGAACCCTAGGCGATATCTGTGACTCCTATTTCTTGTCACCATGCCTGTGACCCTCTTTCACCAGGTCGTACCGCGAGTCCCTGGGCACGCTCAAGTTCGCCCAGCGCGCCAAGCTGGTGCACAATAAGGCGGTGGTGAACGAGGCCACGGAGGGCGAGAAGGACGCGCTCAAGAAGGAGATCGCCCGCCTAATGGTACACTGCTGGGTCCCCTCCTTCCGTTCACCTTGTGAGGCATGCCCGTCTCCCGTCTCCTGGAACCCCTGCTGCTGCTGCTGCTGCTGCTGCTGCGAGCATTGCTGCCACCACGCCACTGGCCCTGGCCGTGCAAGAGAGGACGAGCACGCCCCGGCATAGGACGCTTCTGGCTGATATCAACCGGTGGGAGGTGACCCTGGCTGGGGCTTTAAGGCGGGAGAGGGAGCTGGAGGGCCAGGTGGAGGCTGTCAGGGCGGAGAATGAGGCGCTCGGGAAGCAGGTCGTTGCACCTGCTGGTGACTGTTGTCTTTGTGCTGGAGGGAAGGATGATGGAGAATGGAGGTGGAGAAGGATGAAGAGGGAAAGGGTGAGAGGGAAGGGCAGCAGGGGGCGCTTACGCCTGTAGAGGAGGTGAAGGAGGGGGACGAGGAAGCGGAGGAGGGATGTGGTTTGGAAGACATGGAATATGAGATGGCGGATCTGAAAGATCAGGTGACATGGGCATGACATGGCATGACATGAGGTGACATAGGATGACATGGGATGACATGAGGTGAGATAGGATGACATAGGATGACATGGCATGACATGAGGTGAGATAGGATGACATAGGATGACATGGGATGACATGAGGTGAGATAGGATGGCATAGGATGACATGGCATGACATGGGATGACATGGGATGACTGATAGGGCATGACATGAGTATGTCATGGGCATTGAGGATCAGGAATAAGCTCATAAGTGTGAGTTGACGTGGCATAGCGGGGCACAGCATGGCACGGGCATGACATGGCATACGCTTTCGCCTTTACAAATCCTAGATGACATGACCATACCTCTTAGCCTTGCACGTCCTACATGGCATGAAAGATTCTTACTCGCTTTCTGCTGCTCTACTCCACCCACACAACGAACAGGTTGTGGGTCTGTTGGCGCAGAAGGCAGCAGCAGGGGGCGAGGATGCTCAGGAGTGCATGGAGAGCCTCTCTCTGGAGCTGGTGGGCGTGAGGGAGGAGCTGGCTCGTGCAGGGAGCACTTGAAGCTGTCCGATGATGCAAACGACAGGCTGACAAGGTGAGAGAGGGGCGGTGAGAGAGGGCAGGCAGCAGAGGGAACGGCAAATAGACCAGTGATGCTGTGAAATGAGAGAGCAGCTGGCTCGGGGCAGGGAGCACTTGAAGCTGTCCGATGATGCAAACGACAGGCTGGTAAGGTGAGAGGGGGGCGGTGAGAGAGGGGCGGTGAGAGAGGGGCGGTGGCAGGAAGATGGGTGTCAGCGTATTTCGTTCTCGTGCATTTGCAGTAGGACGAAAGTGAAGAGTGCTGGTTTGGGAGGAGGGAGGAGGTAACGAATGGAAACGTGGGATGCGGAGGTTGTTTGAATCCAAGGTGGCATATGGACGTATATCTAAAAGCCAAGGTGACGAAAGGTGGGAGTAATGAGTTGCTGAACGGGAGACCGTGTGAGATTCTTAATGGTAAGAAGCTTATGGTTTTGTTTCCGTTAGGGGCCTTATTAGTATGGATCTGATGCATCAATCCTGGAGAAACTTGCTGTCTGTATCTCTCCTCCACTTCACTCGCCCTGTCCTCCTCGCTTTCCTGTTCGGCCATGCAAACGCGGGAGATGGAGGCAGAGACGCAGTGGCTGGCTGCTCAGAGACTCGCTCTGGAAGAACGAGTCAACGCTCGCAAAGCTCTCACCAAGGATCACTCCTTCGCACCCACGCCCATCCCATCTGCACCCACGCCCACCCCATCAGCCGCTGCAACTGCTGTTCCCCACAGTAGCCTCATTCCCACACCTCCTCTTCCTACCACCAGTACCTACGGGATCAGCCAAGGAACGGGTATGAGCCATGGGGTGGGTGTGACCAGCGGGATGTGCGTCAACAGAAATCTCTCAGACGCGTTTTCTACGGCCATGTGCTCTGGAAGTCTGTTGTCAGCTGTACAGCACGGTACAGCAGCAGCGGTAGCAGGAGGATCAGAAGCAGCAACGGCGGCAGCTGCAGCAGCAGCAGCTGTATTACCAGAATCACCCGCAGCAGCATCAGCAGCAGAATCACCAGCAGCAGGAACAGCAGCAGCAGAGTCGGCAGCAATGACAGCAACATTACCAGCAAAATCACCAGCAACAGCTGCAGCAAAAGCACCTACACCTGAACAAGGATGGGAAGGCAATGAGTTTGTAGTTGACACTATATCAACTCCTGGGCTTGTCCAAAGCAGGCAGAACTTGCCGCAACAGCACCGCTCGGAGCTGGAGAGCGCGACAAAAGGAAAGGTGGAGGCTGAGAGGATCAACAGGGAACTCGAGGCAAGACTGAACCTTCAGGCACAGGAAATGAGGGAGCTTATAGAGAGGATGCACACAGAGGAGGAGAGGAGGCGGCAGAGAGAGGAGAGCGAGAGAGAGCGAGAGAGAGCATGAGTCCCCCCCTAGCTATTTAAGCCCTCTCCTTAGCTCATTCTCCTAGTTTAGTTTTCGTTTGATTAGTCTCTTCTTCCCTTGGTGGCGGCTCGCGCCGGAGGCCTCCGGCCGCCGACGCTCGCGGCGCCGCCTGCGGCCGCGCGTTAGGGAATGGCAAGTGGAATACAACATGTCCAGACCATATACAAGCAAGACACCCAGCCTAGGGCCCTTTGGGGCACGTCTACCACACCCCTAGCAAGACTTGACGCATTACATGCTCCGCGGGCGGCATGGAGAGCCTGGTTCAGCTAACCAGAGCACTGACGCTAGGGGAGGCATCCCCTGCGCGTACCTACTGACGCCGGGCACCTACTCGCTGGTCTCTTCCTCCTCTGCTGTCAACAGCAGTCCCGCCAGAAGCTTGTCCACAGCTTGCAGCTCTAACATGCAGGCAGCAACGAGATCTACACTTGACGCGGAGTGTATGCTTGCCGCAACAGCTTTCATTGCGTCGAGTGTACAGGGGTCCGTGCCTCTTCCCGGTGAGGGCGCAGGCAGCGCGCGCCCAAACAGGACCATCAGCTCATCCGACCAGTCCGAGCAGCGTTGGAGGGGACCGTGGGACAGAGTCCATGGGTTCGTTGAGCTCTGTAGGGCTGAGTGAGCCGCGGACAGCATCCCTGCCGCCTTCCCAGTCGCTACCCTCAGGTGATCCACCCGCCGAAGTGTGGCGGTTGGCATCGCCACCATCCTCTCCACCCGACGGCTGCGCCCGACCTGCAGCCAGGGCGGAATCCGCAACCCGCTGGTCCGCCGACATTCAGGACCATTGTGGCTTGGCGGGGAACCTTCCCCTGACGACTCCGCTCCCCCTGTCTCCGCTGACGCTGCCCCCGCCTCTACTCCAGTTGGCGACGGCAGCTGGCAATGGGGGGGAACGAAGGGACATACACCCCACCTCCAGAAAACAGCGGAGGGGGTGCAGGCAGCGGAGCCTGCTCGGGCCACGGGGGGGCAGCTTGTGGGAGAGGGGGCAGCTGCCACGATGGCAACGTCAGCTGGGACGGCGAAGCGGCGCAATCGCGCAGGAGTGTCCGCGGTGGTTGCTGCTGGGGGAAGGGAGGCGGAGGCGGCTGCTGCGGAGGGAGCTGGGGCTGCGCTGGGAGCGGGTGCAACTGCGGAGGTGGCGCCTGAGCCGGAGGCACAACAGCCAGCCCGGGGCCCGGCGCCAGAGTGGGCGGCGGGTGTGTCTGTGAGCCCGCTTGGACCTGCGCCCAAATACCCTCCAGCACGGCGGTATTCCTTGCAAGGGTCTGCACGAGCTCCCGCTCACGACCGTTCGGAGCACGGCCAGAGTTCCCGCCGCGCCAGCCCCGCCGCTGCTGCGCGCCGCAATCGCAGCCGCTCTGCTGATGCGGAGGTGGCTGCTGCGCTCCGGCCGCTAGATGCGGGCGGTGGGGAGTCCCTTGGCGCGCGGGCTGCTGGCGCGGAGGCTGCGGACGGCGCGTCGGCAGGGACGGAGACAGAGGGCGGGACTGCGCGCGGGTCGTTGGAGATTTTGGGTTTGACGGGGCAAGATGCGGCAACGACTGACGTGGCGACGATGCGCGTGGCGGCGGTGACGGCGGACGAGACGGCGCGCGCTGGTACTGACTTTGCGCAGGGGGGGACTGTAGCACGGGGGATCCCTCCAGCCATTCCCGGAGCGGAGGCGTTGCAGGCGGGCTCCGTGGGTGCAGCGGGGCTTGATCAGGTGACCGGGGAAAGTTCCCGTCTGACCCAGCGACAGGGAAACTACGAGCCCAGCGCAGGTCCGTCTGCTCTGAGACGGTTGCCCGATCTCGGTGGAGGGGTGGAGCGCTCTCGGCGGAGCTCTCCAAACCGGTCGACCGCTCGCCATGCCCGCAGCGAGCCCGCTCGACGGAACGCGGGTGCACCATCCCCGAGCAACGACTCGTGGGGTGGCTCGCCGGCAGGAGGATGCAGCACTCGTACTGCGACCCCAAGCAGCGGGGCACACGGACAGGGGCAAGGACGGGGATGCAGACAGGGGCGGGTCGGGCGCACGGTTAGCGATGGAGGCCCTAGGAACGGGTTCCAACAAGCAGCAGCAAGGGCTTTAAGAAGGGAAGAAGACGCAACTGATGCGGAAGAAGCGATGGACAGGACTTGCATACCTGACCGGCTAGCAGAATCCAGCACGGAGGAGGACAGCGCTGAGGTAGACGCGCAGCAACTAGCTCGTTGATGCTCTCGAGTCGGATCTGCAGCACCAGTTTCCCAAGGAGGGGTTTTGTCGTGAGGACATAATCCCCGGGCACCGCTGGCAAGCGTGAGAGGGGCTGAGCCTGAGCTGTCCCCCAAACAGCTCGCAGCTGACGAATCCAATTTCGCCAGCTGGGACTTGCTGCCCTTGTATGACAGCCGACAGCCCCCCATTTGCCGCCGAGTCCCGCCAAACCTTCGCCCACTCTTTGCGATCACCCTGCTCATCTCGCTTCTGCACCTGGCTAAAAATCCCAAATCAGCGCCAGTGTGGCGCTTGTTACTTTTCGCCCCACGATTGACACTTCGTTTGGGTTTGCCGAGGAAACCAGACTGGAAGGTGATCGAGAAGCGGCTACAGCAGTTCCTCAAAGGCGATTGGGAACAGCTGTACCAGTCTGCTGTTGAATTGGTAAACCTACCCCCACCGCCACGCCACGTCGCCGACGACCTCGGAAAAATTGCTCGCGCCTAAGGACTGGCAAAACGGGGCAGCCTCAGGAGGGCTGTCCTAGCACTAGAGTCAACACCAGTCAGTGCCCCGTCAGCAGCCGTGCTCGAGGAGCTGAAATTGAAACAACCCCCCTCGCCCGTGAACAAAGTTACCTGGCCAGCGCCGACCCAATCCGAGTCTCCGATATCCCTCGCCAAGCTGCCGTCTCAGTGCGAAAACGGGGTGGGAGCGGGCCCATCTGGAATGACTTTCGAACATTTACGAGATGCTTCTTTCGCAGACGCGTCACCTCTTCACCATAGTCACAAGTGCCATGCGTGGGGACTTACCAGAGGAGGTAGCGGATCTCCTTACTCCCTCGCGGCTCCTGGCTCTGACAAAGCCCGACGGAGGCACTCGCCCTATAGCTGTGGGCGAGTGTCTGCACCACGTTATCGCCAAATGCGGTCTCACCGCCATCACCGAGGCCGCGCGGGGGCACTTCCTGCCCCTACAATATGGGTTAGCGGTCCCTGGCGGAGGGGAGACCGTCGTCCATTCAGCGCGCAGCTTCTCCTCTGCCCGGCCGGAGGCGCTCATTGTACAAGTTGACGTCACCAATGCGTTCAACAGCATCGAACGCCAGGCCATCGTCGATGGGCTAGCGAACTCACCGCTCCGACCGCTGCTGCCCTTGGCCCAACTCTCTTACGGCCGACCGTCCGCGCTTTATCTGGACGCTGCGTTCCACAGCCCGCCACTACTAAGTGAGTGGGGCGTTCGTCAAGGAGACCCGCTCGGCCCCCTGCTCTTCGTCGCAGGAATGCACCCTGCCCTCCAAGCAACAGCCACTGCCTTCCCACACGTCCTATGCCTAGCATATGCGGACGATGTTACCCTCGCGGGTGAACCAGCAGCATGCGCATCAGCCTTCCTGCACTTCACCGAGGGGCTACGCGCGCTGGGCCTGACTCACAACCCGGCCAAGTGCGCCGCATGGGCCCGCACCCGCCCCCCAGCCTATGAGCTCCCACCAGACATCCCCTTCAGCATTGATGAGCTGCGGGTTCTTGGTAGTCACGTCGGTTCCGCGGAGTTCCTCCGGTCCCACATCACCACCCTGACATCCCCGCTGGCGCTGCTGTCCGCTATGGACCCCCAGATCAGCGCCTTCCTGCTCTCCCGCTGCATTAGCAGGCGAGTGTCATACCTCCTCCGCATGACCCCTCTGGAGCTACTCCCAGCGGAAGAGTGGTCAGCGTGGGGGCAGGGCATGTTCCACGCCCTCCTCAAATCCTGCGGATTACGCTTGCCACGCGGGGAGAGGGAACAGGCACACACCTGGGCGCAGGCTTCCCTGCCCCCCTCTTTAGGAGGGCTTGGCATCACAGATCCACTGGTGGAAGGGGGTTACTCCTTCCTGACCAGCGCCCATCACACCCATACCTTACTGACTGCCCTCCAGCCCGCGCCTGACACCCCTCTTGCGCTGGCTGCCGCCCAACTCGCCCCACCATTCACAGGCCCCGCACCCTACCATGCATGGCTAGCCAAGGCGGAAGCTGCCCTCCCGCCTCCTGCGCGCCTGCTGCTCCAGAACGAGCGACTTGAACCAACCGACAAGCCGCTGCAGCACAGACTGGCGCTGGAAGTGCAAGGCTAGCGGTACGCCGACCAGGTGGCGGCAACCCGGGAGATGGACCCCAACCCCTACATGGGCCATACCCAGCACATGCTGTCCCTCTCGGGCTACGGCGCCGGGGATTGGCTACAGGCCGTCCTTGGCAGTAGGACGAAAGTGAAGAGTTCTGGTTAGGGAGGAGGGAGGAGGTAACGAATGGAAACGTGGGATGCGGAGGTTGTTTGAATCCAAGGTGGCATATGGACGTATATCTAAAAGCCAAGGTGGCGAAAGGTGGGAGTAATGAGTTGCTGAACGGGAGACCGTGTGAGATTCTTAATGGTAAGAAGCTTATGGTTTTGTTTCCGTTAGGGGCCTTATTAGTATGGATCTGATGCATCAATCCTTGAGAAACTTGCTGTCTGCATCTCTCCTCCACTTCACTCGCCCTGTCCTCCTTGCTTTCCTGTTCGGCCAGGAAAACGCAGGAGATGGAGGCAGAGATGCTGTGGCTGGCTGCTCAGAGACTCGCTCTGGAAGAACAAGTCAACGCTCGCAAAGCTCTCACCAAGGATCACTCCTTCGCTCGCACGCCCATCCCATCTGCACCCACGCCCACCCCATCAGCCGCTGCAACTGCTGCTCCTCACAGTAGCCTCATTCCCAAACCTCCTCTTCCTACCACCAGTACCTACGGGATCAGCCAAGGAACGGGTATGAGCCATGGGGTGGGTGTGACCAGCGGGATGTGCGTCAACAGAAATCTCAGAAGCGTTTTCTATGGCCATGTGCTCTGGAAGTCCGTTGTCAGCTGTACAGCACGGTACAGCAGCAGCGGTAGCAGGAGGATCAGAAGCAGCAACGGCGGCAGCTGCAGCAGCAGCAGCAGCTGTATTACCAGAATCACCCGCAGCAGCATCAGCAGCAGAATCACCAGCAGCAGGAGCAGCAGCAGCAGAGTTGGCAGCAATGACAGCAACGTCACCAGCAGAATCAGCAGCAGCAGCTGCAGCAAAAGCACCTACACGTGAACAAGGATGGGAAGGCAATGAGTTTGAGGGCAGAATATTGTCAACTATTGTAGACAATATATCAACTCCTGGGCTTGTCCACAGCAGGCAGAACTTGCCGCAACAGCACCGCTCGGAGCTGGAGAGCGCGACAAAAGGAAAGGTGGAGGCTGAGAGGATGAACAGGGAACTCGAGGCAAGACTGAACCTTCAGGCGCAGGAAATGAGGGAGCTTATAGAGAGGATGCACACAGAGGAGGAGAGGAGGCGTGAGGCAGAGCAGGAAGCGGTAGAGATGGAGAAAGAGGTTCGGGAAGCTGGGCGGCAGCAGAAGCCTTGGCGCATGAAGTGAGGGACCTTTTAGAGAGGATGCAGACAGAGGAGGGGCGGGGGCGTGAGGCACAGCGGGCGGCAGAAGAGATGGAGAAAAGGGTTCAGGAAGCTTCTGCCGCAGCTGCAGCCTTGGCGCAGGAGAAATCTGCAGCGGAGAGGCTGCTTCTGGCTACTCAGGAGCAGGTTCAGGAGCTGCAGGTTCGGGAGGAGAGGAGCGAGGATGGGAGGCGGGCTTTGGAGGCAGCAGTAAAGATGGAGCAGGAGAGGAGGATGGAGGAGGTGAGGGAGAGCCTTAAAATTCTGCGGGAGAGAGAGGAGAGAGCTTTGGTGGCTGACGAGAAGGCAGCAGCAGCAGAGAGGAAGGCAGCGGCCACAGAGGGGAGGGCAGGAGCAGCAGAGAGGAGAGCAGAAGAGGCCATGGCTGCTGAGGTGAAAGCAAAGGGCGTTGAGATGGCAGCGCACGAGAACAGAGTGAAGAAGGAAGAGGAGGTAAAGTGACTGAGGCTGGAGAGGGAGGAGGCACAGAGACTTGTTGAGGAGCTTGTGAGGAAGGTCGTGGAGTTGGAGGAGAAAGGGAGAGACGCGGAGAGGAGGGCAGAAGAGGATGCGCTGTCATTGCAGGAAGCAGCGAGGAAGGTGCAGGGGGTGCGGGAAGAGGCGGCAGTGGCAGGGGAGAGGGTGAGGGAGAGCCTGAAAAGGCTGCAGGAGGCGGAGGAGAGAGCAGTCGCAGCTGAAAAGAGGGCTGAAACAGCAGAGGGTAGGGCAGCGGCAGCAGACAGGGAGGCGGAAGCAGCGGAAGGGGAGGTAGTGGATGAGAAAGGGATGCAACAGCGGCAAGAGGAGCTGAAAGTGGGGGCAGAGGCGGAGGATGAGAAGAATGAAGGGGAAAATGAGGAAGGGGGTGAGGAGGAGGAGGGGAAGGAGGAGGAAGAGCAGGGGAACAGAGAGCACGGTGGGGAAGGAAGGGGCAGTGACTTCTTTAGGGTTGTCACATACAATAACAGGGACTTTAAAGTGTCGCTGCATACGGGAAGGAAACTGGGGGAACTGAGTCACAAGATGACAGAGTTGCTTCCGCACGCTAAGAAAAACTTCCGGCTGGGCACGCTACAAATGTTTGGTGTGAGGGAGAATGATTTTGTGAAGGGCCAGTATGTTGCTGTAGTGCAAACGTGCAGGATAGCTAGCGATTTTACTCATCCGGTGGGAGCTGGTAAGTTCGTGGAGCTGGTGGTCTGCAATTTGAAGACTCAAAACGAGTTCAAATTCCCGTATTCAATGTTATCGGAGGAAGAGCTGGAGTGGGCTAGCAGGTATTGTGTTTCCTGTGACAGCGTGGAGTGCAGCAACTTCCCCTACCATAGCAACGCCTTTGTTATAATGTTCCATAACTGAGAGAACAAGATGGATATGCAGCTAGAAGGTACCGGGGATAGGGCTGATGTTTCAAAAAAAGGCACTTTGAGCCAACCCCCTCGGAAAAAAAAAAAAAAAAAAAAAAAAATCGGCACTCTGAAACCCTTAAGTCCAGAACTTAGCTTGTCTGATTTTCTTAGGGTCCATGAAGTACAACGAGAGTAAAAAAAATAGAGACGGAAATTTGAGGATCTAGTCGACGAGGTACGGATGACGATGCTTTAGTATGAAAATGTTTTTGACCCTAGACGGGGATATACGAAACAACTATTTTCTAATACCGTAAACCCCCGGATATAACACCCCGGGTATAATACAAAATTCATGCAAATTAGGGGGGTGGGTGCTCTATTTCGCGTTTAGGCTATAGCACCATGGTGTTATATTTGAGGACATCATTTTTAAGATGTTAATTAGACTCAGCGTTTCATGGCGATTTCAACCATCCAAGTTCCAGCTGAAAAGAGGTTAAGAATACCCCCAGATCGCCCACTTGCTCCCGAATATCAAGAGTGTGTCAGGTTGGAGAAGTGAGACTGGGGGGTTGGCGACTCGCGCAATAGGCTAGGCGAAAATTGCGAGGCTCGTCAACTAGTCACAACAAGTCTCTCGCACAAATGAAACGAAATTTGTCGGCCACTGCGCTTTTCCAGGTAATTATTTGTTTCACCCCGTCATTTTCAGCACCGGAGAATCCCGCTGCGCACCTCAGTAAAATTGAAATTTTGCGTAATGGTCGTGCTCACCATGAAATCGCATGAAAAACTGGTATCTGTTCCAGGAGTTGCAAGGCTCAGAAGGGCTAAAATGGTAAGGGGGGGTGCTCTCCTGGAACCCTAAAAAAGAGGGTGTGTAGTTGCGGATTCTTCAATAGACAACCCTCCCCGGATATAACACCAGGGGGTGCTTAATTTTGGCGGGTGTTATATCCTGGGGATTACGGTAGTTGTTCCTTTTAGGGAAATTCTCGTCAGCTGCCCATTGGGCCAAGTGAAATTCTATCAAAATTCGACGGCCTCGATCGATTGCAATCGTTTCGACATGTTTCCATCGTTCGATTGTCGCTAATGATTGATGTCCAAGATCTCCCAACCGGGGCGCTGCAAGGGCGCGAAGTTTCTCCCACCGCTCTATTCGCCCAGCTTGCCCCCTCGACCCAATTTCGATCCCCCCCTCCCCCTCCATTTTCGATCCCCCCCTCCCCCTCTGTTTCGCTTCCCCCCTTCCGTCCGTTTCGATCTCCCCCCTTCCCCTCCATTTCGCTTCCCCCTTCCTTGTCGACTGACCCGCTGGGGTTACCCTTGAAAAGATCCTCGGGGAAGGGCCACAGGTGCAGAGCCTGGGGGGCTATGGCGCACTGATTCGCTATTAACAAGCCCTTTTAATTCAGTGGTTAGTGGCTGAGTTTCTGACATGGTTTCAAAGCGTTGGTGACTCGTGGTCAATTCCCAGTGCTAGCGCTGCAGAGGCGCTCGTGTCTTCCACCTATCCCAGCAAGGGGGGTAGTCGGCTGACCCGCTGGGGTTGTTAAACATATTTGTATATGTTATAATAGGCTACGTAGGAGCATGCTCTTAGAGGGTACAACACTTGAACAAAATCAACCAGTATGCCTCATTCTAGTAAAACTTTTCTACTATGAGATGGTATCACCCGCTAGGTTAGGTCCTCCCCACCCACACGCACTTCCGCTCTCGTCCTAGGCCTAGCCGCCCCCTCCTAGCCGCCCCGTAGCGCCCCATGCGCCCCGTGCGCCCCTCTGGCCCCGCTCGCCCCATTGGCCTGTTAGCGCCCCGCCGGCCCGCTCGCGCCCTACCGGCCCCGTTCGCGCCTCGTCGGTCCCGTGTGCCCCTCTGTCCCTGCTGACCCCACCGGCCCCGTTAGCGCCCTACCGGCCCCGCCCGCACCCCGTTGGCCCCGTGCGCCCTGTCGGCCCTCGCTAGCCAGTCGGCCAGCCGGCCGCCCAGCCAGCCGGCTCCAGCGCCGACTCACCGGCTCTGGCCCCCTTCAGTGCCGGCTTCCCTGCCGGCTGTCCCCCCCGCTCTCCATCGCTCCCCACCGCACTCCACCGTACTACACCGCACTCCACCGCACCCTACCACACTCCACCGCACTACATCGCACTCCACCGCTCTCAACCGCACTACACCGCACTCCACCGCACTTCATCGCACTCCGCCGCTCTTCACCGCTCCCTCCACCTGTCCTCCTCACTCAGTCAGCGGCTGTCAACAGCTGCAGCAGTGGCGATGGCAGAGTCACAGCTCCGTCAGGACGCAGAGGGCCGGGCGCTCGACTTTGAGACATGGCTCGTCGACCTACGGCGTCACCTTACAGGTTAGCGCCAGGACGGTCACTCCCCGGCTGCTCATGTCGATGGCCTGCTTCCCCACCCCCCTGCCCCTGCTGCCCCCACCAGTGCTGAGCGTGAGGCCTTTTCCGCTGCTGCGCTTGATCATGCCGTATGGAACTCGCGCGACGCTGTCGCCCAGCTTGCTATCAGCCATGCGCTCCCGCTGCCCGAGCATCCTCGCTTTACCACTCTAGCGAACGCCCAGACCTTCTTAGATGCTGTCATTGCGCGCTATTCCGCCGCCGCCACTGCCTCTGCTGGTCCCCTCATCCTTCCCATGCTGTTCCCCTTGTCTTGCGTCCTTCACCACCTTCGCCAGCTTTGCCACGCACCTCCGCGCGCTTGAGACGAGCTACCGTGCTGCTAGCACTGAGGCACAGCTCACTGCCTTCCCGCTGCCGTTCTGTGCTACCCTTTATCTCATCGCTACGTGCCTCCCTAACCGCCTAGCCATAGCCCACGACCACTTCCTTAGTCAGCACCCGTGTGACCTCACTCTTACAGCCTTTGTCAATGCCCTGTCTGAGATAGAGACCCGCCAACGCAGTATCGCACAGTCCAGCGGTACTGTGGTGGTACCTATCTTTCATAGATGTGCTCCCTCTCAGTGCACTTACTCTGATGCCACTGCTGCTGTTGCTGAGACCGCTGCTATGGCCTCAGCGAAGAAGCGTCTGAGTAAGGGTCGCCGCCCCAAAGGGGGGCGTGGTGGGGGGAAGGGGGGGGCGGTGGGGAGGGTGGCGGCGGTGAGGGCGGGGACGGTGCTTCAGACAAGGGGACCGGAGCTAGTGTCCCAGAGTAGCCGCAGTAGCAGACGCAGCCTCAGCAGCCGCCGCAGTCGTCGCAAGAACAGCAGTCGCCGTGGAGACCCCCGCCGCCGTAGTGGACTGGCGGCGCTAGCGGCGCTGGTCGTGGGGGGAGCGGGCGCAGCTCGGTGTTGGGTGGCAGCTCCAGCGCGGTCACCTGCCAGTACCAGCTTCAGACCGGCCCTCGCCGCGGCACTTTCTGCCTCCGGCCCGGCCACACCGCCGACCGCTGCTACCGCCGCCTGGACGACCAATTTCGCCACCCCTTCGGTCCTGCGTCGGACCCTCCGGACGGGTACACCCTGGCTCGTCGTCGTGTGCCGGTCTTTGAGCTAGACATGGATCAGATTGGGAATGCTATGTCTGTCATGTAAGCTGATGACTCTTGTATGATTGTACCCTATTACCCAGTGTTGCCCAGTGTAGGTGTGTCCACTGTGTGTAGTGTAGGCTCCCCAGCTCTATCAGGCATAGGAACCCATGCCTTGTTTAGCCTAGGCTCCACACTAGCCCCTCTACCGACAGCCGCTACCGCTTCGCTCTCCTTCATGCTTGACACCGATGCGTCTACCTGCTTCTTCTGCGACCACGCTTCCATTACGTTGCTTGCCGCCCCTGCATTCGTTGCACTTGTAGACCCCTCCTCCGGTCCGGTAGTTGCACGTAGATCCACCACCCTTCCTTCTCCAGCGGCCCCCTCGGGCACTCTTACAGGCCTGTATATCCCCTCGTTCTCTAGGAACCTAGTTGGTGTCGGCTGTCTTCAGGACCTCTACATCACCGCTACGTTCCTCGGACATGAGCGGTACGCGGTCTGCACCGAGACCGTCTGAGGTGCCCCCCTTGCGACGTTCCCTCAGGACCCTGTGTCCGGCCTGTTTACGCTGGACACTGCGTTCCCCCCGGTGAGGGCGTCCCCCCAGGTAGCCGCTTGCTCGTGTCGGTCGCTCACTCACCCGTCGCTGTTGTGGCACCACTGTCTGGGTCACCCTGCAATACCGCGTCTGCGTCACATGTCCCAGCACGGTCTTGTCCTAGGTCTCATTGCGTTGCTCCCCTCCCTCCCTCCCTTGCCTGCGTCGCCGTGCACGCCCTGCGTTAAGGGCTGGCTGCGCCATGCACCTCACTCCTCCTCGCTTCGCCCTGCCACCGTGCCACTCCAAACCCTGCACAAGGAAGTCTGGGGTCCAGCCCCCGTCCCTGGGCCGCGTCGAGAGCGCTACTTCCTGGTGCTTGTCGACGATTACACGTGCTACACCACAGTGTTTCCTCTGGAGCAGAAGGCCGATGTTCCTATCGTTCTTATCGCGTGGGTCATAGCTGCGCGAGTCTGCCGAGGTCTCCCCGTGCTATGTCTCCACTCCAATATGCGGCGAGTTTGCCTCCGGTCAGCTTGGCCGGTTCTGTCAGGTTTTGCGGTTCTGTCTTGCGGAGGGCATCACCCAGTCGTACACCCTGCCGGACTCCCCACAGCAGAATGGAGTCACTAAGCGACACATCGGCTTAGTCATGGAGGTGGCTCATACGTCCATGATCCATGCCGGTGCACCCCATTTTCTGTGGACGTTCGTAGTTCGCTACGCCGCTCACCAGTTGAATCTATGGCCCCACTCCCAGCGGCCGCATGTTTCACCGACCCTCCTCTGGACCGGGTCTCCTGGTGACGCGTCTACATTCCATGTCTGGGGATGCCTCGCTCACGTTCGTGCCTCTCGCATGGACAAGCTCACTGCACGCACTATCCCCTATGTCTTCCTTGGCTTCCCCCTTGACTCGTCTGACTGGCATTTCTACCACCCGCCGTTTCACCGCTTCCTTCACTCGCGTGACGTCACGTTTGACGAGTCTGTCTCCTTTTACGGTCGCTTTCC